GGTTTCTGCATAATTGAATGCAAAATCTACCAACAGCAGTAGATCCACCCAAAACTAACACCTTTGCATTCGAGCCAACTTCGATTCTGCCCTGGGTCATTGTCAATGCCGTACCTAACACTAATGGCCATGCAGCTGCTTCATTCATAGACAAATTTTTAGGAACTTGAACGACCGACAAATCTGAAGTCCAGTCTAGCAAGACATATTCCGAAATAGTACCCTTACCAAGAATATGTGCATACATTCCACATACCTTGTCTCCGATACTAAAGTCGGTCTTTTTAGCCGCAACTTCACCAATTGCTACAATAGTTCCTGAATAGTCTCTACCAATTCCTTGTTGACTATTATAATAAGACAACACTTTAAAAGCAGAGTTGTATAATACTAAATCTACTGGATTCAAAGCTGCTGAATGAACCTTCACCAAGATCTTGTTTGGGGGCACATTGTAACCTCCATCTGCTTGTTTGGCCAATGAGATGGATTGTTTGGAAATAGCCATTGGCTTATCATTGCTGCTATAAGTAATAGCGTTGAAATTCAATTGATCTGTTTCCAATTCCATGGTATTTATATTTATACTTCTTTTTAACAATAATATATTTAATATTATAAGGCAAAACCAACTGTATATCCCGTCATTTCACAATGTAAATTTTGATCCTTAAATCGCACCAGCTCCAGATATGGTTAGAAATGGATATATGAGATAATTACAAAATAAAAGAGTTGAAGAAGGTAGAATAAATATAGAATTCAATATAAAGATAAGCATAGAAATATATTGTAAATCATAAATATAATTAATATCATAAGTTGGTTTTTTTTTACTCGTTCATTTGAACAATAACTTTTCCGTTAGCTCTTTGACTCTCAACTTTCTTAATGGCATCGTAAAAATTCTCTACAGGATAAACGCTATCAATAGATATCCTCACCTTCTCTTCTTCGATTAATTGTTTAGCTAACTCAGCCCATTGCTTTTCAGGCTCCAATAAAAGAACTGTATAGTTATATGAGCTCAAACCAAGCAAATTCATAAGAATCCTGAAGATTACCATAATTGATGGTAAGATCAAACTAAATATACTTGCACCAGAATAACTTATCTTAGTATCTCCAGCAATAGATACATAATGCGATCCTTCAGATTTTGGCTTCAAGATCTTTGACATAGACGAGAATAAATCGTTATTACCACAACAATCCAAAATAAGATCAAACTTACCCGATCCAGCAGCTTGAAC